ATGGGCCGAGCCCAAAGACAAAGAGGGGATTTTAATTTCTTTTCTTTTTATTTTAATTGATTCGATGAACTTTGTGCCATTAAAATTACTTCTTGAGCTCCGAAAATTCACGGAAAATTCCGGAGAGTACATTAGGGCACAAAGAATATTACAAAATATTCCCGGCCAATGATTTTTAAGGGAAAAATTTTAATTCTCCCATTAATTCACTTGATTAAATTGCTTTAACTTTTATTTAATTTCTAGGAAATGCATTATTAATTGATTTTTAATCCCGAACGAAAATCGGGGCGTTACACGACACGTCCCTCAACTTACAAAAACCGGGCAAACGAGGTCCCTCAGCGGTTTTGATAGCGGTTTTGGCTGACATGGCGCATACGTGGCTAATTTGATTCGGTCTTATCTGACATGTCGTTGACGTGGCGCTTACGTGTCAATTAGATCCGAAAAAATAATAAAACCTACGGGACCCACATGTCAGTTGCACATACAAAATAATAAAAAGGGAGTACCTATACATCTTTCGAAAGATTTTTATAATCATATCACACAGATTTTTAATCTTTGTATTAAAATCCGATAGATATAATAAAAAGCAAAAAGCAATTAAGAAACACCATAATGAACATTAAATTACCATATCCTCTAGAAAAAGACCAAATCCAATACAAAATTTAAAATTTACATGTGAAGATTCAAAAATTACAGTGTAACTTACAAAAGTTACAGTGTAAGTTTCATAAATTACACTGTAACTTACAAGAAAATGCACTGTAAATTTAAGTGAGAAAATCGAGTGAGAGATAAGAAAAAATCTTTCGAGTGAGATATAGCAAAAGGGAGTAACTATACATCTTTCGAAAGATTTTTATAATCGTATCACACAGATTTTTAATCTTTAGATTAAAATCCGATAGATATAATAAAAAGCAAAAAGCAATTAAGAAACACCATAATGGACACTAAATTACCATATCCTCAATAAAAAGACCAAATCCAATACAAAATTTAAAATTTACATGCGAAGATTCAAAAATTACAGTGTAACTTACAAAAGTTACAGTGTAAGTTTCATAAATTACACTGTAACTTACAAGAAAATGCACTGTAAATTTGAGTAAGAAAATCGAGTGAGAGATAAGAAAAAATCTTTCGAGTGAGATATAGCAAAATCGATAGCAAAATCGTAATAAAAAATGGTGTGACCCACGTGGGCCCACACGTCATCCTCACTACTCTCTATCCCCTCTCTCTCTCTCTCCCTCTTCTCTTTCTCCAGCCGGCGGAGCGTGGTGGGCGGCGGCCGGAGCGGCGGCAGAGCAGAGGGATGGAGGAAGAGAGGGGCGAAGCGGGGCGGGCGGCGGCCGGAGCGGCGGCGGAACGTGGGCGGAGCGGCGGCCGTACCGGTGCACCACGCGCATCACCCCCTCATAGTTCCACATCAGCCCTGACAGTGATGCCGCGCCGAGGTGTAGCGGCAGGTGCCTGCACACCACCGCAGTTTCCCGCCACAGCACCGACCCCGCAGCACGCCGTCGAGCCACCGCAGCTGCGCCTCACAGACGGCACCGTTGAACATCACGAACCGCCTGGCCACGCCGGCAAGGCCGCTCGGGTTGTTCTTGTCCGTGTTCGGGTTCCTCTTGTCCAAGAATCTCCCCGCTGCCGCGGCCATCGGGTGGTCGCGCGACCATCCCACGGCGTTGAAGTCGTACGCGTCGAGGAAGCGGTCAAACTCGGCGACGACGGCCTGGACGGCCAGCAGCGACCTGTCCTTGGGGCAGAAGCCGTCGACGATGTCACCGAAGTTGACACAAAAGCGGACGGCGCCACCGCCGCCGTCATTGGATGCTTGTGGTTGTGGGCATTCCAGGAGCGGACGGCTCTCTGGAGGACGGTGAGGCTGTGGCGGTAGTAGCGGGGGACGCCGAGGAAGGAGCGGCCGTCGGGGATGTCAGTGTGCTGGGCGTCGGCGTTCGGCGGCTGAACCAGCATCGGTCGTCGTTGCCGAATGATTGCCAATCGGCCGACGACCACCACAAGTTTGTCTTCCTCTCCGGCGAGCGGTGACCACTGGCCAGTGACCAAGAGAGGGGAGGAGGAAGAGGAGTATCCGCCGCGTCCACCGCTCGTGTCGAGGTGGACGATGTCGCCGAAGCGTCTCCAAGTCGGCGCGCTCTGCCCCTTTTCCCCGCCGGCCACTGCTCATCGTCCCGCCGCCAGGTTGGCCGCCGCCGCATGGATCCCGCCGCTGGGTCGCCGCATTGGGAGAAGGAGGAGACGGCAAGAGACAGCGAGATTGGGGAGGAGACGTGGGTCCCACTATAAATAGTTTATTTTTAGTCGAACAGTCACTTACACGTGGGTCCTAGTTTTTTTTTTTTTGCCACGTCAAACGAAACCAGGGACTATACTGCCGAGGGACCTTATTTGCACGGGTTTTATAAGTTGGGGATGCGTTGTATCTGGTTTTGTGCTGCAGGGACGAAAATCGGACTAAGAGACAAATAAAGGGACCTAAAGTGAACTTATGCCTTCTTTGTTACAGTTTGTCAGCGCTGCTGCTGAGACGGCCCAGGCCCACGGCCCACATTCCTCCTCTCTCTTTCTCTCTCGCTTCTCCAACGCCACACAGCGAGAAAAAAACGCAACAACGCTGGCGACCTTCCTGACGACGCCGACGAGCTCGACCTCCCCGACGGTGAGGCGATCCAGGTCAGCTCCGCGCCTCCTCCTCCTCCTCCTCCTCCACATCCCCTCGCCCCGCCCCTCCGCCGCCGCCGCCGCCGGTCCTCTGCCTCCCAGGCCATCCCTCTAAGACCATGGAATCCATCCCCCACTTCCTCTCCCCCGGAAACCCTAAACCCAAACCCCCATTGCCGCGTTCAGACATTCGCGGATTAAGGTTTTCGGGCCTAGTGGGACGTGGTGTTTGGAGCTGCCACTCACTTTCTCAGATAGTGTTTGGAGCTTGGTTCTGATTAACATTGATGCATACAGGCGTTTTCAGGATGGGCAGTGAGGACACAAAAGATATGCTGAAGAATGTGGACTGGAAAACAGTTGGTGGTTCGGTGAGCACCGACCCAAGCCAACCAGTTGTTAAAAAGCGTCTCCCGAAGAAAATCAGACAAGTTCCTGAATGCTATTTTCTGCCTCGGCGATCTTTGCCTTCTGCATTGGCAATCTATGGCGCTGCGTGTGCTGCTGGAGTTGGCGCAGGGATGCTGCTTGAGGTTTGGATAAACAAAAAGATCAAAGGTGCATTCTTGTTTTATTTGGTAGCAGGAGGGGCCATTCAACTTAGGAAAAGTCTATACGTACTAACTTTTTCTTACTAAATTTTTACTAACACTGACATGTCATGCTATGAGTCCATCTAGATTTTTTATAACTTCCATCTGCTTAAATCAAACGGTTGATATGATTGTTAGTACAAATTTAGTAAGAAAAAATTAGTACGTGTAGCAGTGCTCTTCAACTTACGTTCTTGCAAAGTAACTGTTTTCTTGAAAACTTATGATGTTGTATTATACAATTGAAAGCATTACTCTTCTTTTGTCTTGGATAATGTTGGGTTGAACAATTGAAAGCATGTAACACCTTTTTGTTTGTTGCCTGTATATTTTTGTACATATACTTACTCTTCTTACTTGCTGATGCAGAGGACAGTGCCATTGTCTGGGAAATGGGCAAATGATTTGATTGCTACCTCTGAAGAGTTCTCCTTGCTCGTGTTCAGCTGCTAAAGCTGCATCTCAGAAATAATCTTAGCTATATTGGTTCTGATTATCTTTTGATTCCCAGACAAAGTAAAACTATCCTTTCTAATGTATGACACTGCCTTACATCTACATTTCTGGTTTCATTTTGAATGCTAGCATAACAGTATGGTGTAACAGGAAATATCAGAAATAACGGTGTTACGGAATGAGCCATTTCTGTTTGGCATTATCAGTTGTACGAATTAATTGATTGTGTGGACAGTGGTAGTTACATGCTCTGATGGAAATATCAAAAATCATTTGGCCTACAAAGTTATGAAGTGTGCTCTCTGCTCAAACAAAAGATTTTGATATCTGTATGAGGAAGCCTCCAGCGTATCTACGCTAGTAAACATTTTTGGGGGTTCTCAATTCCTTCCCGTACTCTGATTATGAATGTAAACTTGCCTGCTAATGAATAGAATGTCCGATTTTTATCTAAAAAAATAGAAAAACATTTTTCTTTTCAACAAAAATGGATCCTATAGATCAAAACAAAGGGCAGCTAGAGACGCATGCCTCATGAAAACAAAACTGCGATTATAAAACAGAACTGTACTAGATTCTAAACATTATGAAACTGTGTGCATTACAGCAGAACATTGAAGCTTTTCAAGCGTCACGTCCAGATTAGCTTCACTGATTAATGCTTCACATATCAGGACACACTGGCAATGAAGAAGCAGTTTGCACTAAGCCAGCAGCATCTACAGTGTCACTACTCGCTACTACTAGACTATTTCTACAGGCGAGCTGCCAAATGCACTCTCCACTTCTCCTAAATTTAGCTTCAGCTTCAAGGAACTATTTGGTAGAGCTCCAACTTCTAAATTTAGCTCCTCCGGCTGTGTTTAGTTCAGCGCAAAGTTTGGATTTTGGTTGAAATTGAAGATGATGTGACTAAAGTTGTGTATGACAGGTTGATGTGATGGAAAAGGACTGAAGTTTGGATCCAAACTTTGGATCTAAACACAGCCTAAATTTAGCTTCAGCTTCAAAGACCTGTTTGGTAGAACTCCAACTTCTAAATTTAGCTTAAGTCTAAAGTGGAGTTGTTTATTTTATGATAGCGTTCCACCCAGCTCTGCTCTCATTTTAGGTGAAGCTGAAACTGTTTAGCTGAGCTCCAGCTACAGGAAAGGTTAAGATGAAGCTGAAGTTGTGCCAAACAGGCCCTTGATCTCAAGCAACAACGGACAATTCGCAGTAATTAAATGAAGGATAACAGAAGCATGAAAATGACTTCATCTATACTACCATTTCAGTATTCCAGCAAGACTTTCATTAAATAAGCATCTCTTGTCCGTTACAATGTGCCTTGCTCCCAGTATAGACACATATGTACTTATGTAGTTTCGAGTCTCATGTCCGTTGAATATATAGATATATAATATATGACAATATACAGAACCAAAAAAAAAAGGGAAAAAGACGAACTCCGGAAGCTGGACGAGCAAAATCCAGTAGCTTCTGCATGTATAAACCTCCTTGCCTGAGAATTATTTACCGAGGGAATGGATCCGAGTCTCCCAGTGCCGCGAACTGCCGATGAGAACTATCGAGCCTGACATTCAAAAACCTTCCTTTTCTTTCCCGTTTCAGAGAACAGAAGAACGCAAAAATTGCAAGTGAATCGAGCTTGCCTGTAACCTATGAATGCTTTATTGAGATGGCAGAGAAACACCACCCTCGCCGAGCCTTCTCTACAGAGGCCACAGCTTTTTATTCACATTGGAGGGGCCTATCATAACTGATGTGGAAATGTGCAGAATAGATTGCATTAGCACTTTAGCGGCGCCACATATAGTATAATAAGGGGGAAATCAAGGAGAATTCAAACCAACCTGTGTCAAGTGATTGAAAAATTGTGCTGAGATCTCTCAGCTCAGAAAAATCAGCGACCACCGCCAGGACTCGAGCTACCACCAGATGTTGTGTTAGTCTGAGCACGCATCATGGTGTCTGCTGGGAAAACCCCTTTCGGCAATATTGATCCAACAGGCTCGGATGCTGCCACTGGCGATGTTACTTGGTTGACAGATTGGTCTTTGGTCGAAATGTATTCTGGCCTTAAATCCGGGGAAGGCGAAGACGGAGCCAATGTGGCAATAGAGAAGCCAATAGGATATGGGGCAATTGGCATATCAGAGAGGGGCAAAGCAGACGGACTGTAGCCAAGCGTGCCCATTGGGTGATCATACTTGCATGCAACTCCATATCTGCAATACCCATTTTGGGCATAGTATGCACAAGGCTGAGCCCCCTGCAAGTTGAGATAACACAAGCAGCTTAGCAAGAAACCAAGGAGCATTTTCTCTACAAAAAAGCAAAGACAAAAACATAGGTCTATGTGCAATCACCAATCAACTTCTTCCAAACATACTATGCAAGCCTGACACTATAGATGATTAATGCACGAATGTGCTGTCTCCTAGCATAAATTTTAAGAACTGTGTAAACCTTTTGGGCAGTGCAAACTAATTCAGGATATCACACTGAAAAACAATTAGTATGAGTTTGCAACTAAAGAAGGGGATCTTACAAGACCTCCAAACTAATTATAGAAAAGAAAGTAATATCACCAATGGATATTTTTAACAATATAGGACATATTTCCCTACAAAGCAAGTTAAATCAGACACTAGCATTTGAAATTATGCGTATTAGGCTATTTAAAGTCCATGTATCTGTTGAAGTTTGCGCTTCACTCAGATAGTGATCTCTGATTTATGGGAATATTTGGGAGCCCCTGTTTCTATAACTTGCTGAGTTACACTGACGTGTGGGCCAAACATGGCTCATCCTCACATTCAATGTTATTTTCAATTTATACATGCTCAGTGTTATTGAGTAAGTTTTCCCTCTGAAATATTATAAATGCTTATTAAGTCAAAAAAAAACATTATGAATGCTTCATCCAATAACAATTTAAGCTGCAAATAGCTTCAAAACTCAGGAGCTAAGTTTGAACAATGTATCTTACTTGATACATTCAAGTTTCAACCAATCTTTGGCCCATAAAAGTTATATACTAGTAGATGACAATATAACACAGTTAATATTTATCAGCTAACCAAAATTATTAAGTAATCAACTATGTTCCATGATCTCATAATCCCTAAATACTCAGCATAAGAAAGCTTACAATGCCTAATTGCCCAATAATCTGCTTCTTCTTTTTGTGATTACAAGAAAGATGCACATGTGCACACACACAGAAACATGAGCACATGCATAAGTGCGCCTCCTTTTAACACATACTCAAACACACAGGCCAAGGATAAATCCATGAACCTCAATAAAATTCCTAGTGAAAGTGCACATAGAGAACATTATCGTTAGGAGGCTTCAACGAGTAGTGGACATAATCATATGACTAGTTCCTACAACCTGTTTTTCAAAACAAAAATATATGTGCAGCCTTTTTTTTTAAAAAAAAAAGAAAAAACATGGACATTAGGACTATGGAAGTTCAACCCCACTCCCAAGGACATTGATGCTACGGTACGTATTAGAGGTTTCAGGGTACTCACCGGACGAAGTGGAAGACAAAGGGAGTTGACCATATAGCCTGATTTAGGTGCACTCAACTCTCGGGGGTGATGATATTTACATGTAGCTCCAAATTTGCAATCTCCTGTTCTCATATAATATTGACAATCAGGCTGCCCTGGCCGCTCAGGGAATCCATGTTCTTGTTGATTGTTGCTTGATTGTCCAGTTGAGGAAGCATATGGAACGTAAGGACCACCATAAGCAATTGTAGAGGAAGATCCATGGTGCCCCATGCCGTACACAGGTCCAGCTTGAACATTTTGTTGAGCTCCACCTGACACTACAGGGTTTACCGAAGCCTGTATAAAATAGAAGAGTTAAAACCACAATGAGAAGACTCCATCATGGCATGTGTCAATTATTTTGTCCCATCTGATTGTTTGCTTAACACTTAAACACTGGCTGGTTATTCAGGCAGCACATCAGTGAGTGCCTTCCAGCTCTTGCCTAAAAGACAATAAGCACATTCTACATCTTTCAGTCTAGATTACAAAGAACCTGCTTCACAAATCATGACACAAGTATGCTGTCGTGCCTCATTTGTTGATTCACTTTGCATTTCATAGTATAAGTTGGCTGTCATGTCCAATTTGTTTATCAGTTTTGCATTTATAGGTATGCTGTTTATTTTTCCACAATAGAACATGTAATTCAAATCAATTACCGGATAAGGGCTCCATCCTTGCAATGGGATCATTCCAGATGAGAGCATCATTGGGGTGTATGAGCCTGGTATATATGATCCAGGAACTACAGGTGGTCTCCCCATTTGCCAATTTGCAAGAGAAGCATATGGATGAGGGGAAGCTATAGATGGAGACTGTAATGGTGGGTATATTCCAGGGGTCATCGGAACACCACCGAATTCCGGATGATGGAATTTACATGTAGTTCCAAATTTACATTGCCCAGTTTTCATGTAGTAGGAGCACTCCTTCTCACCCTGCATTTTATTTGTACCAACATCTCTTTTTCAAAACAGGAAAAACAAGTGTATGAATAAGCAATATTTTACGAGAGATTTCACACCAGGCGTATAGGGAATCCACTGTTGTTTAACATAACAGGTAGCACAGCTCCATCTTGCTTAGGATGGTGATATTTGCAATTGGTACCAAATTTGCAAGTCCCAGTCTTCATGTAATACTGTAAAACAAGGAAAAAGAATTAGGACCAACATTTACATGTCATATGACATGACATTAAAATTGTTATGTGCTTAACAATCTCAGCCAATTATTATTTGAGTATTATGTTGCATGCCCTGCCTGCCTGCCAGTTAGCAAGCAAAGAACACATGGTGTTAATGCAAGCTTAAGTGATGGCGGGTGCCTTTTTCGTTGCATAAAAGATAATTGAATTCAAGCACCAAGCTGTTTAGTTTGAGTACCTCGCATATAGGTTGACCCGCCCTTTCTGGATAATCCAATGCTGCTGCATTCCTTGCACCTCCACCAAACTACATTTTGAAAAAATAGCAACTACTTAATTTTGATGTTCCAAAATCAAGCGAAGCTTTACTACCTATAGACTAGCATAGGCAAATATGGCATCCCATGCGCACAGACAAACTAATCAATTTCTTAACGAAAACAGAAACATGGAAAGTAGATAGGCTATCAATAGACATGAGTTTCATAAATCATTTAGAAAGATCACAGTTGCAACAGAAGAATGTAAACTTATAACAAGAACTACTGAATAGTTGCTATATCTTTTGCAAACCCAACAAGTGAGAAATTCACAAAATCAGGATAGAGGGTAAACTATCAGCCAAAAGCCAAATATGCTAAACAAAGGACTTTGCTAACCAACGGTAAGAAAACAGGCAAGAAAGATTTTCATGTCAATAATCATTGATCCTAGATGTCTTTGTTGACACATTTGATTTAATCAACCAAATTAATGACAACGGAATGGGAAAAGAAGGATATTTTTTATTATGTTATCAGAATCAACAACTGATCTTACTTAAAGAAAGATTGAGCACAGAAGTTTGCCATCTGCAGATGCATGTAGTCTGACCCAGTACAATACAATCCAATTAAGCAAAATTAGCAAACACAAAACACCCAAAAAAGCAGAATAAGTAAACATGAAGCGGCCAATAAAGCAGGCAACCTACAGCTTTCTGCTTTCAAAGGGATATCCAAGTGCTTTAACTTGCAGAGGTGCACCTCCACCGCGAACCCAAACTCTAATGCTGCTACCCGATGAGTGCTACCGATGCGCCGGACAAGATCTAGGCAGTGGCATGCCCAATTTTCAAGCTACAGAAGAACTACATTTACATTGGCCGAATCAATGTTCCCCATGGCACGATCCTCACTTGGGCACTAAGCTGATCACATGGTTAATCCATCCACCCTAGAGCTGCCTCATCCACGCACGCGCGCGCGCGCAAGCCGCAACGAACCAGATCGGGAAGGGAAGCGCGAATTAGGAGACTCACCTCAGTGCCGCCGCGATCGCGCGGGTGGTTGTAGCGGCAGCGGTCACCGAAGCCGCACGCGCCGGTGCGGAGGTAGTAGACACAGTCCTCCTCCCCGGGCCGCTCCGGCAGCCTCCCCGCCGCGTCCCCATCCCCTCCTCCTCCACCTCCACCTCCCCCGCCTCCTCCTCCCAGCCCCATCCTCCACATCGGCCCTGCAACCACAACCAACAAAACCAAAACCAAAACGCAGCTGCTCATCCACCACCCCCGCCACACAGATCCCGCGCCACCCCCGTACGGACGCCGAGATCTACATCCTCGAGCTCCAAACACAAAAAAGCACACAACGAGCACGCACGCACGCACCTTCCAGGCCGGTGTCGGGGCTAGCCCCGCCCTCCCCCTCCCCTCCACCAGCTGCGGCGGCGGCGGCGTGCGGCTGCTCCATGCCTTCGTCGGCGTCAGCGGCGGCGATCGGGGCGGGGAGCGATCGGAGTGGGAGGAGGAGGAGATCGGGGGTGAGGTTTTGTTTCCTCTTATTCTCTCTCCTCTCTCTCTCTCTCTTTCTCGCGTTTCCTTTCCTTCCACCACCACTCTGGTGTGGTGTGGCTACTGCTCTTTTCTCTCTCTCTCCTCGTTTTTTTTCCTCCCTTTCCTTGCCTTTTTTTCCGCTGGTTTTTTGCAGCACCTGTCCGGGTTTCACACGGGGTTGGTTTCTTCTGTTTTTCTCTTTTTCTTTCTAAAAAAAAGAATTCACTTTTTATTAGTATATATACTACTCTCTCCTTTTAAGGTTAAAAAACGTTTTAACTTTGGTCAAAGTTAAACTATTTTAAGTTTAACTAATTTTATATACAAATATAATAATATTTATAATACCTTAAATTAATAATTGAATATATTTTCATAATAAATTTATCTTAGATTGAAAATGTTATTGTTTTTATTTTTTAAACTGAGTTAAACTTAAAATAGTTCAAAACGTCTTATAACCTGAAATGGTGAGTATCTTTTTTTGTTTTTCTTTTAAATTTAATGGGAGTTGGGATGGGGGTGCAAAGGACCACGCCTGATCAAGGGGTGGATCTATCACTCACTTCACATGTGGGGATTGATGGTGATTTTTTTTTTCCTCTTTCTTCGTTGCATAAATGTGGGGGGATGGAGGCGGTAACGGTTGGAGTTATATTAAGCTTCATTTGCTTTTTGCTAGGATGTTTTATGGTAATTGAGTGTGGGGTGTGGAGGAGGTGAGTTATGTGATAATTACTTCGAGGTATCCATAATCCATGTCATGTGTTTGGGACTATCCTATTCGCGTGACCGAAAGAGTGATATATGTGTGATGCATGTCGCTGGCGTCATGGAAATAGTGGACACGAGCAAGCGGGCTGTGTGTTTGTGTGTAGTAGAGGCCATGTGTTGTTTTTATGTGCATTGTTTTTTGCTTATTCGTGTGACCAAAAAGGTGATATATGTGTAATGTGTGTCGCTGACGTCACGAAATGGTGTAAATGGGCGTGCTTTATGTATTTGGGTGTACGAGCGATGTGTTGTTTTTTTTGTCATGTCATCTATTGTTTCGCGTGTTATCTCTGGGTCTTGATTGTGTCCTAATTAAATTTTCTTTTTTTATTGTTATGTATTTTCTTCGTAACCATAAAAGGTTAATTTGCACGTCATAAATAGATATATGTTATGTTGAGTTTTGGTTATCTCGTTGCCGCATGGACCCCGCATTCCTATGGTAACCTTTAATAGCCGTCATCGGAACTACGACACGGTTGATCACATCCTTGTGCTAGTCATGACGTTACTAGCCTACACGTGGACAAAAGGATATATTAACAGGGACGACACGACTACCGTGTACTCCATACATCTCTAATTCGATTTATATAGTTTATACTACATAACTACCCGCGTGTTGTTGTGAGAGTTTAGTATAATAGCAATAAATACAAATAATATGTGAGAACTAGATGACATAAGTTTATATAAGTCGATGTAATTTACAATAATTTAAAAAGTATATAGAATGGTGTTCAAATGTAAAAGTAAAGTGACGTGGCTTTACGAGAAAAAAAAAAGAGAACGGTAGTTTGGACTATAGATTAATCATCTAAGAGCTAAAAATAATTGTGATGATATGGTTTTATGAGATGAGAAAATGATGAAGATAATTTAGACCACAGATTAATTATTTAAGGGCTAAAACAATTGAGATGATATGTCTTAATAAGAGAAGAAAAAAGAGAGATAATTTGGACCATAGATTAATCATCTAAGGGCTAAAAATAATTAATATGATATGGTTTAATGGGAGAAGAGAGAAATATCATTAACTAAGTGATAATGAAAAGATATATTGACATATTGTGTGAATTATGTGTGATGATGATTTAACATGCTTGTATTTTAAAGCTCTGAAATTTAACAAATTATAGAATTATAAATAATATATCATGCTTGTATAATGTTTAAAATATAATAATTGTTAATGAATTATGATGTGGTATTTTGAGTTTTAGAATTTAGTGGCTTATAACTTTATTGTAAAATATGATACTCAATAAAAAAATTCGCAATCCTGCGGTAGGTGTTGTTTTTACATATGCGTAGAATGAGATGTAATTTAGCGCTAAAATTAGTTTAAAAATTAATAATTATTAAGCACATGGTACGGCATGACTCTTTACTGTAGTACATGGCCCAACCAACCCCAAGTCTCTTATTCGCTTGTGATCAAATCAACTATACTCACATGTGGAAAGCACGCTTGTTTTCTAGCACAACGAACTAAGGAATAATTATTTCCCTACGTCTCAACGGCAAATCTACCACGATCGATTCTCTTCCAAGAAAAATTAACTAGTCTAATCCACTAGTTTAGCCATAAACTTTGGTCCTGTTATTTTCTCATAAAGATTAAGATTTTACCTCGGTTTCCATTACTACTAAACGGTATATTTCGTGCGAAAACTTTCTATAAAAAAAGTTATTTTAAAATATCAAATATATCTATTTATAATAATTAAAACTTAATTAATAATAAGTTCATAACTTTTTCTCGTTTTAACTTTATCTTTATCGTCATGAGTTTCGAACCCAACCAAAATATCACCGGCCTGGGGAAGTTGTATACTCGTATAGGCCACCTTCGGCAACCGATTTTCATTTCCCTTAGAGGATATTTTTTTCCAAACTATGCCATCTGTGTCGATTTATTAATCAAAAAGAAAAAAAATCACCGGCCAAGATTACTACAGCTAAAATGCCAATAGGTAGCTTGCACTTTCTGTATGTCAATCAAAAGCATCATTCTGCTGCATTGCCCTGAAAGCATCACACACAAACACATATATACTCCTACTGTTCTTGATACTGGCAAAAAGTCAACTAATCTCATCATGCCACCACAAATCCACCATCCATACATGCACTCGCTCACTAGGCCCCGTTCAGATCTCACCTCAAATTTTTCACCATATCACATCGAACGTATAAACACCTACATAAAATATTTAATATAGGCTAAAAAATAACTAATTACACAGATTACAAGTAATTTACGAGACGAATCTTTTAAGCCTAATTGCTCCATAATTTGATAATGTGATGCTACCGTAAACATGTGCTAATAACAGATTAATTAGGCTTGATAAATTCGTCTTGCTATTTACTAACGGAATATGTAACTAGTTTTTTTTTTATTAATGGCCGAACACCCCATACAGCATCCTATATAATACCTGATGTGACACGCTAAAATTTTACACCGTTGCATCTAAACCCCTCACTAACCCCCGGCCAGCATCACCTACTCTACTCTACCTCAACGCACCAACCAACCGCCGAAAAGAAAGAAAGAAAAGAATCCGTCAAGAAAAGGAGCGTGACGTGAGAAGCAAGGAAGCAAACGGGGTATGTACCGTTACGATAGTTTGTGTGTGTGTGTGTGTGAGAGAGAGAGAGAGAGGGGGGGGGAGAGGGAGAGTGAGATGTGGCGCACGTGCACGGGGGGCGTGGGGGCATTTTATTTATTTGTTTATTTTGTTGATGATTGACACGTATAGTACCCCAAGTACTCCTACGGGGGCCCGTGGGCGGCCGCATCCTATGCCCGAATTTTCATCGAGCCAGGCGTGCGGGTTTGTCCTCGTTAACTAATTCATTAATTAATTACTCCCTCAGTCCCCTTAAAAGGGATACTTGTACTGATTGATCATTCGTCTTATTTAAAAAAAATTAGAATTATTTTTTTTTATTTGTGACTTACTTTATTATCTAATGTACTTTAAGCTTAACTTTTCGGGTTTTATACTTACACAAATTTTTAAAATAAGATAAGTGATCAAACAGTGCAAACAAAATGTCAAAATCCCTTATATTAAGGGATAGAGGGAGTAGCTTATTATCTTATTTGGTTTCATGGGCTGATCCAAACAGGTGGGCTAATTCATTAGCCCATACAAGAGGTACTAATGGGCTAATTTTCTATAGGGACTTAAAAAAAGCAGTTATCTCTCTCCTATCTCTCTAATCTCTCGCCACATTTTAGTCCTGAATTAGCCTATGGTTCCAAACATGTCACTCTAAGCTAATGTTTAGCCTACCGATTCAAGACTAAACATTAGCTCTCAAAATTAGTCCTGGGCTAATCTTCCAAATAGGGCCAATTTGGATGTTGTATAGAGGAGCGCATGTGCATGCCGTTGGTTAGTCGATACGTTGTTGAGGTGGTGGTAGTACTTTCTCCTCCGTGAAGACTTAGAGCCTGTTTATGAGAGTTTCGGGTAGTTTGCAGCTTCTCTCGGAATTAAAAATTTCTCAAACAGTATAACTTTTTTTTTATACTATGAGAAGTTCTATTTGTAAAATTTAGAAAAATAAACTAGAAACCTGAAGCTGTTTCTTCATATTCTCAAAAGCTGAGTACCAACCAGCTGCTTCTCAAAATCTTAAGCTAATAAATCCTTAACAGTGTTTGAGAGAAGGAGAAAGAAAAATGTTGATATAATACGTAAAACGAGATGGGTCATTAGCATATCATTATTTAAGTATTAGTTATTTAAAACTTAAAAATGGATTAATATTATTTTTTAAAACAACTTTCCTATAATTTATTTTGGAAAAGTACAAATTACCTCCCGAACTATTGCGGTCGACCGAATTACCCCCTAAAACCCGAAAATCAGACAACGTTCACCCCCTCGACCCAATCTAGAACAGTTTTGTCCTACGTGGCGTACCCGTGGCAGTCCAGTTAGAATTCTATTTGTATAAAAGCAGGACTCACCTGTCATACTCCTCTTCCACTCTTCCTCTCTCTCTCGTGGGTCGGCGGCAGGTGGGGGACACGGAGCGGCGGCGGCAGGGGACACGGAGCGGCGGCGGCGGGGGACGAGGAGGCGGCGGCGGCGGCTGCGGCCACGATGAGCAGCTGTCGCCTTGGCGCGGGGACGGACGGAGGCAGGGGCGGGCGGTGGGCGGGCGTGGACGGCGGACACGGAGGCAACATGCACAGTGCGCGGAGACCCTCCTGCGCCAGAGGGAGTTCGCCGCTCCCTCCTCTGTGTCCCGCGTCAACTGCCGCCGCCTCCTC